ACATGATACTACTGAAATCAATAAAATTGCACACTTGGTATGTAATGCCCTGAGTTGCTGAGCAGAGTCCAGTGACCTCAATCACAAGATTAAGCTGTTAAACAGATTGAAAATTCGATTGTGAGAAACATATACAAAAGACTGCTTGGAAAAAAAAACAAAACAAAACAAAACAGTTATATCTGCATTGAAAAGCATGGGAATATTTAAAATTATACTTCAAAAAATATTAAAATGATTTTTAAAATAAATAGAACTTTCTAATAATTCAAATGCGTGCAAGTCAAAGCACCACCAACTAACTCAGGGGGCACAGTTTGTATTTGAAAAGGCTTGACATTCGTTCACAGTACGCTCCACAAAACAACAAGAAAACACAAGATCTGTGATTCATGATTGAATGTATTGCCATTAAAGGCTGGACCAAACAGTTTTTGAACCAAATGATATAAAATGGCATCATATGTTAAAAAGAAGAATCTTTTAGGTTCATTCAGTGATTACAATAAAAAAAAAAAAAAAAAAAAAAAAAAAACAGATGGTGATTTGAGAAGCTACATGGTTTCAAAGGAACTAAATGAAAATATCAAAAGAGAACATTTTCATCTGCCAACTTGAACAACACAGTGAAGCTGCTCTCTAATGGCGCAGTCAGATTCTGGCAAATATCTCCTTAAGAGACAAGTTCCAAAATAAACTGTTTTGATTACATAGATTTTTCAGACTTCCTTTTAGCATATGTTCTATACAGAAGTGATCGATAAAATATTACTACATCAAATGTTCAACGGAATTCCTTGCGTATGCAGTGCTAGCTTACTCACAAAGGAGCCACTTCAAAGACATTTTTTTTAAAAAAAAAAGCAAGTCACATTAAGAAAAGAAAAAACTTAAAATATACTTAAAAGTACTTTTTTAAGATGACATTTCAGCACAGGAATTGAGCCACTTTCAAAGGAAAAGAAACAATGCATAAAATTTAAGAATAATTTGAGAAATGTTAGGAATTAACATGCTCTTTTCCCTCCTTGATTACAATGTTGGAAATCATCTCAGGAAACTCCACTGTGGTAAGATATCACCTGTAAATTCAACACCGTGAGTATGAATAAGCTCTTTATCAACAAAGAAAATTGGGTGCCTGTCCAAAGAAATTTTCAGCTTTGTAGATTAAGTCATTTTTTAATAAGAGTTGGAAAGAAAGAATCTAATCAAGAATGGACGAGCTGAAAGACAAGATGATTTAAAAATTCTCACCATATCACTGGTGCCAAAATATTTTTATGCAGAACTATCAGAGTTTCCAAGGATGAAATACAAAATGTTCTAAGAGCCATACAAACAGTATAAAAGATATTTTCTCATCTGTAGATTTTAACTGCAAGCCCATTAAGATCTTAAAACACAACAAACTTTCAAGGGCTAAGTGCCGGACTTTTAATGCTTTAGTGAATAAGCATTTATAGATTAAAAGCCTTGACCAGAACAAACAAGAACTGTTGGTCTCAATTTAGCAATGTAGATTAAGTATAACTCTTTCAAGGATATAAAGACTGGTACTGCATATACAGTATAATTTGAAATTGGAATGTAGCCCAGATAGGAAGATGTTACCAGCAAATACAAATACATAACACACACGTCTACCTTAAAAATAAATAAATAAATAAAAACTTTAAAATAAAAAGAAAAAAACTACATACGAACAACTAATTTAGTTGTTCTTAAAAGAAAAGATGAAAAATAGTAATGCAGAAAGTTATCAACTGATGAAATTTTAAAACAACAAACATATTATTGAGCTGTCAATCAGAAGCACAAGAACTGAAGTTAATATAAGGAATGAAATGTTGAAAACAACTGAAGCCAATAGACTAGGAACCATTTCTGTCAAGTCTAACATTCAGGAATGTCATACACAGTTTGAATAGATATCAACTCTGGAGTTTGAACTGTATAGCACAATACATAGGATCATAGCTATGATAACTACTGACATTGAATAGCAACTTATTAGAAGAGAAGGGAAAAAATCTCCTGAGAGATCTTGCTCCATCTTCAGCTCTAAAGTAATTTATATGGAAAAAAAGAGCAGACCAACACATTATTTGGAATTATCACATTTCTAATTTATCTAGCACACGTGTCATGATGGCATGCTTGCCACTACTACCATTACGATCATTCCTTACACCAATCCTGCCTAATTTGTGCCTTTGTAACATACTGTTAATACTGGAGAGAAGGACCTCATATATATCATTATAGTAAGAAATTGCAAAGCAACATGCTTGAGGAAGAAAAATACAACACAAACAATAATAACAGACAAAAGCAAATAGAATAGAAATTTTATTTATAAGGAAAACTCTTGAAAGAAACTTAAGACAGAAGAGGGGTAATTTATAGAACGATTCGCTCACAGTAAAAGTCTGCAGAAAAACTGCTTAGAAGAAAAAATAAAAATCCCTCATTTCTTATTGAATTGGCAGTGGAAAAATTCCTTTCTCAATTACAAAAACCCTTGCAAACTATCACGTTATCATAAAGACACACCTGTCACTAAGATCAAATAAAATAACCAATAAAATACATACACATCTGCAACAATGTGAGGTGTTTATGAGTTTAAAATAGAACACTGTAAATCAGGAAAGTCATCTAAAGCTTCCTCTCAGGGAGAAAAAAAAAACTAGGCAAAAAAGAAAAGTTTAGATATCCCCAAAGCAAAACTGAACTCAAAATAGCATTACGGTTACTCATCCAATTCTATACCAAGGGACAACTTATACTTGAGATGAGTTTCAAACCACAATTAGTAGTGGAAACGTGGAGTTCTTGGATATATTAACTAAAAACAAAACAAAGCAAAACCAATATGACTACAGCTAATTAGTGTTAAGAGATTATAAATGTACGTTTATTTTGGTTTCACTATACGGAATTTTCCTCCTGGGGGACAGAGAACTTTGATGAAGTTATAGTTTTATTCTGACAATTCCCACATGAATAAAAACAATTCTGGAATGGATCTCTCAGTGACTATGGAAGTAGGTGAATGACTTCTAGATTAAAAACACTCGAACTGAAGCTTGAAAATCTTAGCGCACTATTTAAGCAAACAGTAATAGAAGCACATCTAACAGCTGATCTGAGCACTTCTTGATTTAAAAAAAAAAAAAATAAACAGTAAAGCAGCATACTGATAAACACCTTTGTTCATGCAATCAGCTGCTTTTTGTCCTTCATGTTTAGCTGCTATCATTAACAAGAAACATTTTCAAGCTCTGACTCACAGATCATGATTCATGGGAGAACTAGATCTCAGCACACAGTGGAAACCCACACAAGTTTTTGCAGGTTTGAATTTATAATATTTTTTATCAGTTTGACATAAACAATATAGGAAAGGTAAATGCAGAGTAGCAAATTTTGCTTCCTCTGTTAAATATAACCCACTGAACAACATCTCCCTTATCTGATCTTTTAAGTAACTAAACCAAATTATATCTGACACCTGCCTAGATTTTCATATCATCAGTAAAACAGTTGTCTTCATAGTCTTGAGCAACGGAAAGTTTTCTTGCACTGACTTTGGTATCTTCAAATCAACAAAAGTTATCTATCCTACATTTTCCGTTAACATATAGTTTCATTTAATATTGCCTAATCTAATATTTGTCTAAAATGCTATACAAAATATAAATGTATAAAATATCAGAAACACTGTAAAATCCAGTAAGATAGAAGCAAGGTAACATTTTTGATTATGAAGATATAAAGCAAGTTGTAAAATAATCCTCCATATTGTTATGGAGGATTTGGAGTCCAATAGCCATAACGAGCATGAGACCAACCCTCACTAAAAGTAGAGAAAAGGGAAATTAGAGACCTCAGATGATAAAATAGTGTTGCTCTTTGCTCTGTGTCTTCATTGATGGAAGGAACAGAAACTTTTAAATAGGTTCAAGAATACAGCACTAGAGGCTTTCTAGGGCACATCAGAGCACAAACAGAGTAGCGTCACTTTAACAACGGGTTTTAAAGACCCTCTTAAATGTACTTGTTTATAACACATATTCGCTCGGCCTTGATAAAGAAAACTTATCTTGTCTACTAACAAAATTATTTATAAACAATCTAATTCAAATTAGCTGCTTTATCGGCAAAGGGGGAAAAACATATCATACTGCACTTGATGATTCTAGCATAGCCAAGCAATCATCTTTAAAGTTTTAGAATTGTCTGAGACTGCATTGCACATCTATCCTACACAGCCCCTCACAACTTGCTTCATTACAGCAATGAGCACATTGCCAGCCTGCTGCAGTAACCAATTCGTCTTCATAGGAAATACTAGGAAAACAGGAAATGGCATTCAGTCTCATTCTCTTATTTTTGGGACAGAAGGCTCATGCACTACGTCTGCTTGATTTCTACTACTGTTCTCAACAGCTCTAGAATTTGACCTGCCAAATTCATTGAAAAGAAAACATTCTCAACTTTACCTAAAGTAAATACATCTTAAAACTCATTGAAAAACTTGCACATAAAAATACCAGTTCTGATCTAGTCCTTAATTCAAACATTTTTTAAACCAGTCTGATTTCATCTTGTATAATTATAATGTATCTTCCTTTATGTTTAGTTTGTTTTTAAACTAGATTGTCTGCAGTTAGAGTAACAGTAGCTTCAGTTTGTGGAAATTAGCACAGGCATAATTCACAAAGTGATGTTGCAGTACAGGAGTAAAGAATGTATATGTTCTACTGAAATATATTCTTAGTGTGCTCTCTTTACTGTTTTAATTCTCTCCCTTACATAAGAATCAACTCTGAAAATAGTAAAAACTGAAAATGAAAAAAATAACACATCAGTTGTGTCTGAATTTAGATTCTAACACATAGAGCAAAATATTTCCAAGACTTTCTTGTAAGCAACATGTATCTTGATTCTTGTAATTAATTTTCATAGCTATTAAATGCAGCATCAATACATACCTGCAATTTCTTCTATGGAGTTAGCTCTCATGTCCAACAAAACAGTGCCATTCAGGATACAGCTTCTCAGCTCAAACAAGCTATGAAGTGACAGTGTGGCAACATACGGTTTGCTCCACCTCTCCCCACCATCTTCTACATCTTCTTCAAACTTCAACCACCTGTGCAAGCAAACAATTCTATAACTCCAAATAATCAATTTACAGCCCCAAACAACCAATTTTACAACAGTATATAAGAAATACGAAATACATTACTTCCATAGATATTGCAAGAGCACCGTTAAACTTGTCACAGAGATAAAGAAAAGCATATTAAGCAATAATTCTGTATTTTCCAAAAACTTTGAGCAATTCTCCATAAAATGATAATGCTATGACGGAACAAGAACAACTGTAGAAAGGATTCAAGAAGAATTTGTTATAGAAAAAAGTAAAAGCTATACATAGTAAGAAACACTCTACTAAACGCAAGTTTGTAATTTGACCACCACAGAATAAAAATATATTATTCATTGAAAGTAACATACACTGAGATTTCGTGAAGTGTTAATGCATCAATGTATTCTCACCACCACAAGCTTTTCACAAGACAATGATATGAACTTTTGTTAGTTGTTTAGCTGTACTACGCCACCCAAAAAGGCAGTAAAACTTTATGCAAAATTTAGGCTATTCTTCATTTAAAAGTTCAGTCAATTAAAAAGAAAAACCTCACAGGCACATAAATGTGCAAGCACATGCAGACAGCATATACATATTTGTGTATCTTGAAAGCCCTAAAATATGGTCCTTACTCTGATAGAACCACCATGTGAATGATGTGAAACAGCACTTTAGAGTTCAGAAATATAACTGTATCTATTTTATGTCTCATTTGGCTCTTCTTGGTTTCTGTACAACTCTGAAGAGACTTCAATAATATTAAAAATTACATGAAACTTACATGACAGATTAAGTCTTTTGTTACTAGCCAGTTGGATGAACTTACTCCTATGACTTCATATTAGTTGGCTGATAAAAATTAATGTTCAAAGAATGTTACTAAAAATGTTCAAAGAATGCTAAACACACAAACAAAACCCAGAAAAGGCTGCTCACTTATGCAGAAGTGTTTTAAATTGAAGTTCAGACCTTCAACCAACCAGCCTATGCAGATGCTGGTAAATGGAAACATGTAGCATGCTTGCCTGACAAGCCTTGAACAGCTGTAGCAACAGCAGAAGCCTCTATCATTTGACAACACCAACAGCACTTGTTTATTTTATGTGGACCAAGCAACAGAGAAGTCAGAGAGAGCCTCACATCTTGACAGCACATTCACACTGATTTCCAGACAGCAGGGAAATGTAGAGCCTTAAGACTTCTAGATCTAAGCGTTTTCTAATGTAACCAACCCTCTGAGCCCAGTAGCTCAGCAGACATGCCCATTCCTCTTCCATTCCTGTCTCACTCACCTAATTCTGCTCCTTCCTGCAAAATACGCCTGTGTACCAATATTCTGCACTTTCCTCCTTGCAGCCATCACTACGTACTACATCTTCCAATGCTAAGCTGCAAGTAGACACCAGTCTACTGCTGCAGTCTACTGACCCACTCACCAGCAGATCTGCTACCTTACCGATGCACTTGACTGATTCTAACTCCATCAGCTGCTTGCCTTCTCATCACTTATCTTTTATTTAAAAACACCATTTCCCCCCAATTTTTCCTCTACTTTTCTCCTGTAAAATATCTCCAATTTCCTGCGCCTAGCTGTCTCTCCTCTTTGTATTTAAACATTTCCGCCCCATTTTCTCTGTACCAGCCTGCTTTCACATATCATCTTTGCCCATGAGACCCTTTCCTCCATTATACTTCTATTCTCTCCTTTCACTGTAATCTCTCTTCTCCCTCCAAATCTAGTTGGGTTATTTCCTTGTTTTCATTCCATCAGAGAAGCACCAGGGTCACAGCCCACAAAAATGTTTGCCTCCACTACCCAGAGAGCTGGATAATGAATTTAAAATTAAGTTTCTAATACATATATGCAAACAAGGTTTTTCCAGCAGGACTTTCTAAAGTAACATCAAGACATTAAACGTACGTTAACTCATCCCCCACTGTTACCACATTCAAAGCCATGATTTGAAAGAGATGAGCTAAGAGATTTGAAAGACATGGCTACAGCAAGCCATGAAAGCTTCAAAGAAGGAGAGAGGAAAAATGAAAAAAAAAAAAAAAAAAAAAAAAAAGTATACAAAAAAATAAAAAGCCTCCATTTTGCAGCTACATTTGAACTTCATAAGGAAAGACAGCTTCCAGTTTACTTATAGCACCCACGTGTCTAACTTAAAAATGTGCTAGACACATTGTGGCCATAACATCCCAAACATACTAAACACATGGTTTAGTAGGAGCTATTGGGAATAGGTGAACGGTTGGACTGGGTGATCTTTTAGGTCTTTTCCAACCTTAGTGATTCTATGATTCTATGATGCATTATTCTAGAAATTCTTAGGAGGCATTTATCTATAGCTTTGCCTTCACATCCCTTTCCATTTTTTGTCCATGTTTCTTATGCCTTTAGGAGTTTTATATCATATTCATACTTGGATATTACCAATTCTTTCTAGCATACAATAATTTCATTTTACGCTGATTCAAACAAAAGACGAAAAATCATGCATATATACACAAAGAAGCAATTATATGAGCACAGATTCGTACAGAATCTGATCAGAAATCTCATACTATCATTGGCTTCTGTTCTTGTAAACTGTCTTCAATACTACTTATATGATTATACTGCTACAGTCTGCCCAGTTTGGAACGTAATGACCAATTCTAAATAGATTTAAAATTACAGATAAAAGAAAAACATGTTCTTAAAAGTTTCATAAAATCAGGTGACAGAACAAAAACAAGCAATCTCTTAGCATCATAATTAGAGCTGATATCTTTCACGGACATAGAAATCATCATAAGAATTTTAATTAAAGCTCCTTGGTTAATGGCGTCAATCAGACACGAAACTTAAAGCAGAGCAATAAAGTCCATAGAAAATTATTACTATGACTCAAATAATTATTTTTTTCCATAAAGATCATATCCACCTGAGTTTCAATCTATTTGAAGGGTATAATTTCATAGGTTGGATCCAATTTCTTCCCATTACTAAAACTTATATGTTCAAACACATCCTACATTTTTATCTAATGAACTAACAGTCTACTAAATAAACATAAATCATACCCAGCTGAGAGAATTCTGCTTTTGGACTAAATTTCTATTTTAAGAAGCATTACATGAACTTACTCATGAAGTGAAAATCATGCTTATCACCTTTTAGCTTTTCAGAACTGTGCCTCAGAATTATTACATCAGATTATCCTTATTTAACATGAGAAGTGAGAAATAGTAGCAAAAAAAAAAAAAAAAACCACATTAAAAAAAAAGTAAATCTGTAATCTTACAGTCATTCGATCATATATGTTCAAGTGGATTTTAAGACTAGAGTAAAAATGTCAACAACCCTCTGAACTCAAGGTTCAAGTATATCTATATCAAGATATCAAGATATAGATAGATATAGATATGACTAAAATCCAAACTCAGGCATGGATCCCAAGTGTGACACTTTTCCATATTTCAGTTCTTAGCCAAAATATATATATTTAGTTCTACTGCTTGACCCCTTAAATTGATATGATTAAGAAATAAAAGCCATTTATGATTTCCTAGAAAACAGTGTTAACCCCACATATATTCTGATCTCGTATGCCACATTTTCTATGTGCTTGAAATATATCCTCTAGATAGTAACTACCTTACTTGGGGGGTCCAATAATACAGAATGGTTTAATTTGTACAATTTTCTTGTGTTGGTAAAGTCTAGAACAGGTATACTGAGATTTAGTTCCTCTGACAGGACATTTGCTAGGACAAATTGTGCCAGCAAGACCTTCACCCAAGTTTGTTAGTACAGGAAAAAATATATAACAGATGTTCGTGCACATAAAAGGTCTACTAAAGCCACCTCCATTGATTTTTTCAGCAGTCAAAAAAAGAAGTGTGCACACTTTACTGTAGGCTTGGTTACAGAATTTTGGTACACAGCATGAAGTTGGGAGAGTTCCAACACAATCCATTTCATAGTCTATTATATTTGCATAGTCTATTATATTTCTCCAGCGGAGTGCTGGAGCATGTATTCACCTACAACCTACTCAAGATTCAATGTTATTAATGTAACCTTACAATCTGTATCAACTTCCACACCAGATTTTCCTTGTCTAGGCTGTCTAAAGATTAAACCAAAGGAAATAAGCATGTTGAAAAACAAAACAGAAGTGACAAATGTAAGGATTTTTTTTTACATAATACCTTTGGGAATTTTGGTCCATTTGGAGATGCATTTCCACTTCTTCATAATCCTGATTTTTTGCTAGTACTTTCATTTTCTAATCAGTTACTATTAACAATTTACTTTCTAAACTATGGACAGAGGTTTATTTTCAAAGCAACTTCATTAAAATTCAAACCTAAAAATATTCCTCCTGGTTCCAAAATGTCTGTTTTCCTCCTTTTTTGGAAATGAAGTAGTATTCTCCTGAAATTTTCATTTCATATGAACATGTAATTGAGATCCAGCAGTTTGACATATACTTCCTTCAAATTAGCCACTGTTTTCCAGTCATGACAGCAAGCTGCTATAGGATAGATTTGAACATGAATTGCTTTCTTAATACTTGCAATTTTCAACTGCATTACTGTATGAATAGAATCATTTGCATCAGAAGGGGACCTTTAAAGGTGACCGAGTCTGGGCAACTTATTCAAGTGTTTCACTACTCTTATCTTGAAAAGGCTTTTTATTATAACCAGTCTAAACCTCCCCAGTAAGCCAGACTCGTGATTCACTGTGTTCCTTTTTCAGGGTATAAACTATACATCATTAATTCTCTACAAAATTGTACAGCTGGGCCATATCCAAAAATTGTTCCATCTATTATATTAGTAGTACCAGCTTTTAATTTTAAATGGTATCCACTTCTTATAGCTTGCAAATGCAGGACAAAAAAAATATTTTACTCCCTCTACACCAACAAAACAAAGTTATTTCATCTTTGGTGACTAATTCCACGGATGGTGCACCTTAAATTAGATCTTTGAGTGGAACAGGCTATGGTAGCAGTGCACATTTTCACACACTAATTAATTTGCAGGAACACTTTTGCTGATTAGAATTGTCAATCAAGAACTGAAAAAAATGAAGAATGGCAAACAGATAGGAGTCCCCTATCTCCTGTAAGAGGAGAAAAACGTCTACAAAATGACTTACTCTTCCAAACAAATGATATAGGAATAGAGCACATTTACATAAAGAACATCAAGCTTTCGTCAAATCTTCTTATCCACAGTTCCCTTTGATATGTTGCTATTTTGATCAAGCAAGAACAAAATGTCTCCAATACTTCTAAAAGTTTGCTCAAGTTGTTTTTTGGGATTTTTTTTTTTTTTAAAGGCTAATTTGTGCATGCAATTGTGATCAATCAAAAAAGAGAAAGATACAGATTAATTACCTAAGTCAATACAAGTCCTTGTTCCAGCAGCCCTTATAAAATGAATTTAGAACTGCTTAGTGATGTCACTCCCAATAAACACAATAATGACAGAGACAATCTCTGTATCATTTTCATTTAAATTTATCAATTTGGAGCTACAAAGCTGCACAATTAAAATATACAAATACTTCCATTGCCATTTTTCATACAGATGGACAAGTTATTGTAAGGCTAGTGCAGCAACAAACCCAGTGTTTATCATTGTCATAGCATGTTTCTAATCAAATCAAGTCCCAGATCAAGCATCAGTATCAAAATAGTACTTTAGAATATCTAGAATTATGTATGCTAAGCATTCAATTCTATACTCTATACTGAGTTGAACATTTCCTTACCTGTACTGGTGTATGGGAACTGCTGAGTCATGGCCTAAACCTCTGATTGATCACCTGAGGCAAGCTGAGGCAAGTCAGCCAGGTGAAGGCAATTCACCTGTGCTGCCGGAAGGCTAGGCTCCACCCCTCCTAGACCTATTTAAGAGCTGGCTACCAGTGGGGAATGATCTCTTCTGCTCAAGTTTTATAAGTAAGCCCAGGATAGGGGTAAGCTTTCTATCTATTCTCTTTTTGTTATCATTATCTGCTTTGCCAAACTCTCTTGTTTATTTTGTAATTATAGCATCTTAATATTAATTAAGTATACAACTGATAACACCACTTGTCATGCACAGTTAAACACTATTTTTTATTATTATTAAATATTGGCACCTCATTGTCATTCTGAACATTCACCACCCCGTCTCTTATTGCTGTATTAAACAACATCTCATTTCCATCACTGTACTCTGACATTCTGGAAGCATTCAAGGCCAGGCTGGATGGGCCTTTAAGCAACCTGGTCTAGATGGAGGTGTTCTTGCCTATAGCAGGGGATTGGAACTAGATAATCTTAAAGGTCCCTTCCAAACCATTCCATGATTCTGTTGTGTATGGTATCTTTATCTATTACTAGAGTAACAATACCCCAAAATTTCTTAGCAAGTTTTAATATAACCCTATTTTTGTCTCATTCAATAACAAGGGTATTTAATAGAATTCTTCTTATACCTTGTCTCTTTCCTTCACACTGTTTCATCTTCAAGTGTGACCGCTTCTATTAGTGCCCTTCCCATTAATGTAATTTTTGCAATAAAATAGATTTTAAGTAATAAATTCATTTGCTATATCATATTACAAGGTTTACTAAATAAAGAAAAAATCAGTTCAACTGTTTCTCTTGTCACAAAAATCAATTATCTGATTAAATAGCATCTTAAGTTAGCCTGATGATAGACCACCGAACTTTAACCGATTTTCCATTTAGCTCCAAGTCTACCATTACTATTTCTGTCAGATATTGTTCTAAGTCTTGCATATCTCTGAAAGCCAAATAACAGGCCCATGTTTGTTTAGACCACTTTTCTTCTTTCTTGAAGAGTGTTGCTATGTTTGCTATGATACAACTTACCTGACAGAATCACAGAAAGATAGGATTTAGTTTGTGTTCTTTCAGCTTTCTGTGAGACAAAATATTGCACTCTCTTATTTGCATAGGCA